TGGACAGCACTGTACTAGAACATAAATCAAAAACTGAGATCTGAGTTGGTTTCCCAGATCTAAAATGCTGGAGGTTGGAGTAGGAAATGGGGAGCTGAAAAATTCATTTGAAGACAGCTATTACAGTTATAGGAAGCTGTGGAATCAAAGGAGTTATTTCTTTCACTTACTGTCACTAAAAATAAAGCCACTCTAAGGGCTCTGGCTGCAAGTCTGTGACTTCTTTTCCCTTAAGTCCCAAATAAATGCAGTGTTTAGGCTGAGAAAGTTGTTTCCCCAATTAGAGTGACTCTGAATATGGAAGGCATATATAATATACACGCATACATATATACACACATGCATATACAAACATATTTTTGACTAACTACATTTCTCTTTGACTTTACATGCTCCAAATAGTCTAGTTTCCTAAATGCCCAAGATAAATTCAGGACTCTACCTCAGTGGTTCTCATCATTTGGGGGTCTTGCTAAGTGCTGACTTCGATTTGGGAGGTCTGAATTTGGAAACAAGACTTCTACATTTTTAAAAAGCTTCCCAGTGATGACATATAGATGTGTGTTTTTAATTGTGATCTTTTGTTAGCTCATTCATTTTATTTCCCACTGATCAAATAAACATTTCATACCATGAATTTTGAGTCATATGCTGTGATAGATACTTTCCTTCCCTTGGATCTTTTTTTCTCCTTCTCAAACCCCTTAGTGATTGCCTTGTTTTTATTGTGTCTTTCATCAATTATTTTGTCATCCACTAAAAAAGAATGAATGTTGCCAATTAAACTATGACACATATTGATTTTAACCATAGCCCTATTCAGAAATGTCAAAATGAGAAAAATATGCATTTTCGATTAAATATGGTTTCAATATTCCCCAGGTCTCACTTTGAGACCCACATTTAATACTGCTGATGGACACTGATTGTGACCTGGATGCCACTTTACACTCACTCTCTTTCCCATACCTGAATTCATTATGGCTCCCCAACTAACCCATACTTTCTTTTGAATTCTACGTTTTCAGTAAGTGACACGATCCCCAGGTAATTCTGATGCAGACAGTTCTTAGTCCACACTCTGAGAAACACTGTTCTTCAAGGAGAGCCTCTATAATTGTTGCTAGTGTTGTGGTATTTATGGTTGTCATCCAAGGGTTTGACACTTCACTGTCAACATTTTTCTCCTTTTATAAACATGCTAAGGATACCAGCCAACCCCATAATGTATCCTTAAGAACTACTTAGAAATGTGCCTGTTTGATGTTATTCCCTGTTTTTTATCTTAAAATTGGCTCCTTGTTTAGGACAAAATATTCCCAGCATTTGCTTTAATATTAAAATATTTGTTCAATTACATCTTTCACTAAAGCATCATTTTTATTCTAACTTTTAGGAAGGAAATGTCCTGGATATGACAAAAAAATTGCAGTGAGGAAAAAGAGCCAGATGGTAACCACTGAAGTCCAGTAACAATATAATCTTGAGACTTTTTTATGCTGGAAAAGAACCCCACTCATTTACGTACTCTAAAATGGGGTGGTGCTGCCACTAAATGAATAAATACAGAATGTGTTAAATGTAATCTGTGTGTTCTGAGGGTACTGCCATGATTTTATTATTTAGTTAGAATAAACCCATTAATATACGTGAATACACCACACCCATCTTTCAAACATTATTTCTTTCCATATGACCCATTTAAATCTGCAAATTGTTTAATCTGGTGTTTCAACATACTTACGACTTAAAAGGAGACTAAAGACGAACATTTCTATAACACTTTCTACAAAAAATGCTTTATTTATTTAAAAATAAGATCTTTTTAAAAAAGAGACAACTTTTATATACAGTTACTTAGTTCAGAAACAGTCCAAAACAGAATAAAATAAATCCAGATTTAGAAATCATGATTTGTAACTTGTAATACTGGTGCTAAACAAGACAGTTTAAATGCATGATTCTTTTTGTCCCGTCACATTTCAATAATTCACATTTGTTGAAACCAGTAGTTGGGATTAAAGAAAAGGTCGTGTCTGAATCCTTTCCCCTGCAGAAATTGCCACCCTTCCCGGCAGTTACAGAAATGGCAGCAGTCAGGCAGTGTGTTTGTATTTCTTTCAGTGCCTGTGTGTCAGAAAATATATCTCTTGTACTTTTATTCTTTTCTATTTCCTTCTTTGAAACTTACTTGTATGTGGTTATAGGGCCTGGCCATATATACTAGGCCTTTTTAAATTTAAATTTTAAAAATTAAAGCTCTCTAAGGGCAAGGAACATGCAACACTATGATAGCACAGGACTCAGAGCTTAATGCTCTTAAGTCAGCAACATTCAACATGATTTTGATCTCCAAGTCAGCACTTTGAGCAGCTATCAACCCATCTTTTCCAGCATGGTACTGAAATATTTCAAACCACATTCAAACATCTAATGTAGACTTATAATAAAACAGGAGAAATGGCTTATCGAACTAAAGTGCTATTAGCTACTATATTCAAGATGCTGTCTTGATTTCATAACCTGAAGTTATCTTCTTGGAATGTCCAATTTTTTTCAAAGGCTTACAAAGATGTTTAAACTTTTTTTAATCTTAAAAAGTTCTGTCATATACATTCACAAGCAAAATCAGAATAATTTTAAAGATAAAACATATGACTTCAAAGAAATTACAAGCTGACATTTTGGACTATGCCCTCATACCTTATCTCCTATGAGGAGGATTTCAGTAGTAACATCTGTGAAGCAATTTTCTGAAAGTGTAGCCAGGTCATTACTGACAGTGAATATAAATAAAATTGAAAGTCTTGGCTCATTTTCTTGAGCTCCATCTTCAGAAATAATGTGGATTCTCTAAGTAAATAAATATAGTCCTGTCTACACTGATCAGGGAAGAAAGTCAAGGAAAGAACTTTGGACTAATTTTTATTTTACATTGTTTAATAGTCAGAGGGATGCTGCAGTTAAAGATTACTGATTTACAACTAAAAATATACAACATATGTCACCAAAAATAGTGGAACTCCTGAAGCCAAAAGATTAGAACTTAACCCACTGAAAATAATGGGTATAGTAATTATGGGTGGCTTTATCCTTCTTTCAGATTTCTATTAAATTATATCATCCCTGTTCTTTATTGCCCTTTTGGTTGAAGAGGTGAGTACATGGTACTTTTCTGAGTCATTAATTACATTACCTCTAATCCCAGATCCATTAGGGATTCTTTTTTGACCCCAAAGGGATCTTTTCAGAATGTCATGAAGATAAACCAAAACAGCCTGCCAAAATAACTACTTGTAAAATAGAAAGTCAATGGTCATTCTCTACATAAATAACACCTATAAAGAACAAAATGAAGTTGCCATGAAATTATATAAGTCAAATTTACAAAGTTGTTTTTTTTAAACAATAGGTCAGCGTCATAAAGCCATGTAAAGAAACATTACCTGTAAAAACAAGCTATCAACCAACACATTTAATAATTAAATACAGTTAAATATGACATTGGATCAAAAATGATCCTAGATAGTATAACGATTAATCCCATTAATCCCACAATTTAATGAGACCATCCCAACCACATGTTATGACCTTAGATGTTTCATGAGGATGCCACACTGCACCTATACACACTTTATCATGAGCTTTAAACCGACTATAGAGTTTTGTGGTCTTCCAGTCCCAAATGTTTAATTTTCCATTTCCATCTCCTGAAATCACATAGCTGTAGTGGGAAGAAAAATAAATCCAGATAAATTCAGATATCTTAAACTGGTAAAGCAGATGAAGAACAGAAAAAGATTTTATCTTTTTACCTTAACATGAAAAAATAAAACCCAATGCAAATAAACAATATTCAGAATAACATGGCAGAACATGAAACAGTCTATTAATCTGAACCTCTATAATAAAACCTCCCCATTGAGCTCCCAATCTAACAGTAGAAAACTTTTTTATTTTTTCATGTTTTTTTTGAGACAGAGTCTCTGTTGCCCAGGCTGGAGTACAGTGGCATGATGATAGCTCACTGCAGCCTTGAACTCCTGGGCTCAAGTTCGGCCTCCCGAAGTGCTGGGATTACAGGCATGAGTCACTGCGCCTGGCCAGAAAACTATTTTTAACTGGAGTACAGAGAGTCTCAGGGGCCGTAATGAATGATGCATCTCAGTCTCTAGACAGCCAGGAACAGTGTAGGGGAACCAATTTTACATATAGCCAGTGAACACATTTAGACCCATTCTACTGTAGTAACTCTACTACTTCCACAATTATTTTGGGGCTTCAATATCTTTTGAATACATCTAAGGTTGAATCAGAGGTATAGAAGTATAAAGCCCAATCACCAGGCTAAACATACAGAATTACAGGGATTTCTAAATTACTTCTATCTATATATTTTAATTAAGAATGGTGCTGTAGGCTTCACAAATCCAGTATGACCTAGAAATAGTCAAAAGCTGCATTTGAGGTTTCAGTAGACAAGCTGTAGTTAAGTTGTTAACTTCAATACTGCAGTACAGAATTCTTCTAGTGTTCATTCAATCACAGCAATATAGTGATTATAGTATTCCTAGTCTTGCTTAGAAAAGCAAAGAGAAAATAAGGCATTGCTGATATAACATAGGGACTTATTAGGTGGCTAAAAGGCATAGACCTAAGTAACATAAGGAGATATACTGAAGAACTTAAAAATTCAAAATATAAGTTTCCTAACTTGTTCTTGCTTTTATATTTGGCATTCTGACAGATTACAGAGCTCTCACACAATTACATTATGTGACAGTGATTTGTATTGTTATTTGCACAATAGCTTGTATCATATTTAAATATGAAAATAGATTAGAAAATTTAAAGTTACCTCATGTCTGGTGAAAAGTCCACTTGACAAGCATAGCCTGCTACCATGTGGCCCTTAAAAATTTTTTTCTTATTTAATCTAAATCTGTTCTGTGCTCCAAAAATTAAGATTTGGTTGTCCATGGATTGGCATGCTAGCCACTTGCCTGTAAATTCAAAAAATGGGATATTTTAGGGAAAGACTGAAAAGTTTAAAAAAAATAAATATGTTTACTGTGATTAATATTCTTTTGCTCCAACTACTTTATATGCTGGAAGATAAATTTATTATACCACCTGTAAAATGTTACAAATATGTCACTGGCAAGAGGTATTAATATATAAAGTAATGGATTTTGCTCATATAATCCTCTATCATTGAGCAGTCTCCATATAGAAGCTTTTCTTTCTTTTTTTTTTTTAAAAAGAAATACAAAAATTCTAAGCTTAGTACTAACTGAACTAAAAGAAAACTTTTGAAAATAAATCAATTCGTAGTAAGTATAGATAATAGAACTATGGGAAGAAAGAGACCTATCTGTGGTAATTATGGAATCAGGAAAATTAAGTCTGGTGAGAAAACCTAGGATTACCAAATTATAGCAACTGTTTTTTTGAGACAGGGTCTCACTCTGTTGCCCTGGGCTAGAGTACAATGGTGTAATCATAGCTCACTGCAACCTCAAACTCCTGGATTCAAGCGATCCTCCCTCCTGCCTCAGCCTCCTCAGTTGCTGGGACTATAGGCGTGCACCACCAGGCCCAGGATTTTTTTGTAGAGATGGGGTCTTGCTATGTTGCTCAGGCAACACTTGACTGTACTTGCATCCTATATACAGTAGTCCCTTGGTATCTATGGGGGACTGGTTCCAGGACCACACCCGACCCTCCACCCCTGCCATGGATACTAAAATCCACAGATGCTCAAGCCCTTTATATAAAATGGCATAGTATTTTTGCATATAACCTACATATGTCTCCTGTATACTTTAAATCACATCTAGATCACTTATATTAATAATACTTAATACAATGTAAATGCTATGTTAATAGTTGTTACTGTATTACTTTTTTATTGTTTTTTCCTTGAATATTTTTGATCTGTGGTTGGTCGAATCTAAGGATGTGGAACTTATAGATATGGAGGGCCAACTGTACTTGTAAACAATGCTGACTAAGGAAACGATCTTAATGCCTGAGTGGGTGAATGACCTTGTTCAAGACGGGCACAATATCTGTAATAGTTTAAAAGCACATTACATAAAATGTATATGCACAGTGACAAAGTATATAATATAGTGGATTATCAAAATAGGATCCAGTTAGGTTGCTCTTGTGACAAAAATGATTGACAACTATCACCAATCTGCCTGTGGCAGATGCCCTGATGGAAGAGCAAACTCTTCCTTGTCCTACACTTACAGTAGTTATGTGAGTTAATAGTGGCTTTGATGATGATGTTCCCCAAACATCATAACTAATTAACTAACTAACTATCTATCTATCTATCTATCTAAGACATGGTTTTGCTTTGTTGCCCAAGCTGGAGTGCAGTGGCTGGAGCATAGCTCACTGTAACTTCAAACTCATGGGCTCAAGTGATCATCCCACCTCAGCCTCCTGAGCAGCTAGGACTACAGGCATGCTGGCTGACTTTTTAATATATTTTTTTGTAGAGAAGGGATCTCACTATGTTGCCTAGGCTGATCTCAAACTTCTGGCCTCAAGTGATCCTCCCGCCTTGGCCTCCCCAAAGTGCAGAACCTCCACTTTAATACCTTCATGTAGAGCTATAATTACATCGGTATATTGTCAGTATCTCTATAGCACAAATTATCTTGTACTTAAAAGGCAATGGATTATTGAATAGGAAACAGTATTAAATAGATTTATTTTGTTTTTGCCCTATGAAATGATTTACTGAAACTGATTATGTTGGAAGTAGAATTAAAAAAAAACCCTACTGTCAAACAGAAATCCTTAGATGCTCAATGATAGCTGTAAATCTTTCTTTTATTTTATTTTCTAGAAAAACGAGAGTAGGTGAGTGACTCACATTATGAAAACCAGTAATTACTTCTAATATTGCAAAGATTTCCTTATACAAGTATGGCACTGTGACGAAATTCCCCTGGAAGGAAATGGTCAAAGTTCTTTTGAATATAGCAATTACACCATGTCTTAGAAGCTCATTTAAAAACACCTTCTGTGTACTAACTCACCATTTGGAGACAAAGTCACTGCAGGCATTGAGTGCATACTGGGTTCTGCTATATACTTGAAATCTACCGGGATATCCCTAAAAATTTAAAACAGCATATCAGAATAAGTAATTTTAAAAAAGCACCTTTAGAAGAATTATATCTAAAACAAAGGGTTAATATCCAAATAAAAAGCAAACTCTTGAATTCATATATTTAATAGACCTTTAATGAAACTTCCTGGAAGAAGGAAAACCACAAAATGATATTGTATTGCTTATTATAAATCTTTTACTTTATTAATGACTATCCTTTATGATATATAACAGTGCCAGTGATTTTGTTTTCTATTTTACTTAAACTTTGCCCTTTATGTTAAAAAAATCTGTGACTAAAAGTTCTTTAATAATGAACTCATCTAAAAATGTACTATGGTGGGCAGAAGCAAGATGTCTGAGGCAAGGTCACAGAGAAGTATTATTTTACCAGCCAGTCAACCTCAACTTGTTACTCTGAGTGGGTAAGTGTTAAACAGGCTTCAGCAATGCAAGTGGATGGCAGGCAAGGCTATAGGGGACTGTGAGCTGGTCCAGCACATCTAGAAATAATAACTAAGGCCAGAGAGATTAAGTGCTTGGTACCTGGACTATTTTCAGTTTACATGTAAAGCATTTCAAATGTGTACAGTGCAGGAGAAAAAAACATTAAAAAAATAAATCTCATGTGAGAGACATAAATGCTAAAACAAAAACAAGAATCCAAAACTGTCACCTAAATTTAGAACCATCAAAAGTTCTAAGTACCTTTTTATTTTTAATATTTTCCACGATAAAAATGCTTTAGTAATTCTGAAAGGATTTTTGGTCTTGTTGCGTTTCATGAGACCAGAAATGTCTTTTACAGAGTAATATGTGGGAAATGTAACCTGAAGAATAACATAGAATATAGAGCAGCAATTTCAATTTCAAACTTTGATTTGGGTTCCAATACTATCATTAACTGGAAAATAATAATTTGCCTTGATGTAGGGATTTTCTTTATCCATTTGTCCATTTACCCAGCAGTAGGAGCAAATGATTAGAAGAAAACTTCTGTCGGGGTCTTGGTTAGAGGAATATTTTCTGGTGTGACCTGGGGAACAACATCATCTGTCAGATCTTCGGCCCTCTATAGCTATAAGCCACCAGTGAGGACCGACATTCAGAATGATCCAAATGTATTAAAAAGAGCCTCAATCTAAAAAAGGTTCGTGTTTTTTCCCTCTCCATGTTTATTATTAGTGGCTAATAATCTTATAGCATGGATTAAAACATAAGAGCACTTGAAAATTAAATTAACCATAGTTCAGCTTCAGTAAACAAATTCAAACAGACACTTCATTTGATACAACAAATTCTAGAACAAAAAAATGAATCTGAACTACCTTGTAGACTCCTAGTAAAAATGTCTGCTAGGCATAGTTATATTTAATAAACACATAATTTTCTAATTAGATACTGTAATTCAGTATAGTGTAACTCACATGTTGCAAATAATCTTCAGTTTGGAAATGAATTCACCAAAAAACCCCTAACAAAAGTCTATGAAAATTTAAAGATAAAAGATAAATAGTAGTGTCACACTTTGTAAAATTTTCTTTTAAAAATATTCTACCAAAATTAAGAGCTTCTGGAGAAAATGCGTCTCTGACATTTTATGCATTTGGCTGATTAAAATACCATAGGCTGCTGAATTCTAATATAATCTCTATTCTCCTTTAGAACTACATAGATGTTAGTTTATATAGTATTGTTTAAGAAAGCCCAGTTTCCTTTGGTTTGTTTCTTGTATATCGTGGTACTCTAAGCAGGTATAGGGTGTATGTAGTAAAAGTTTGGCAAACACCACTTGTCTGAAGGCCCCAGAGTTGCTAATTCTCCTACTGCTAAGGGCAACTCTCACTTTGAGGAGGTCAGGGCCTTCCTTCCCTTCCTATGCAAGCTGCCTGTATCACTAGTAATGGCTCTTAGGAATGGTTTATGCAGTGAAGCACAGTTCTGGGGATCCTGCGCTGGTTTTGGTTCCTACTTGTCTCTGTAGCAAGACTGATCCTCACATTTATTAATTTCTCACTAATCAAATGGAATACAAGTTACCTTCTCTCCCCACCAGTCCCTTTATTCATCTAACTAGCTCCTTCCACATGATCAAAAACTCAAGCTCAGGAATCAGTTTGACCTGAATGTGAACTCTGACCCTTGCAGGTCCTATATAACCTTGGGAAAATTACTTAACCCATCTTAGTTTCCTTACATATAGAATGGGAATAACAAATGTATCTGTCTCATAGGATTGCTTTGCATATTAAATCAAATAGTTCACATAAAAATGCTTAGCATAGTGACTGGTATATACAAAGGGCTCAATAAATAAAACATCATTAATAATTACAACAATGACTTCTTTAGATATTAAGTGTATACTGTGTGCCAGGCACTGTGTTGGTGCTGGGGACAGACAGTAAGCATGACTGACACTGTTTTTTCCCTCAAGGTTAAGAACTTGTCGGGAAAGAGGAACAAATGAGCACGAAAGTATGCTAAAGCTGTGGAAAGCAAAAAATAGTGTGGGATGACAGAACAGGCTCCAAGGATTGATCAGGACGGCTCTGACAGTAAGCAAGGGATAAAGTGAAATCTACAGGACGTCGTCATTTCAAACAAACAGCACCATGACTTTTTAGAACCATTTCTTAAGATCCAAGAGGAAATAAAAAAAGAAGCATGCTAATTATCACCCTTAATTTAATAGAAAATCTTTGCTGACCAATGTTTTACTTTAGAAAACACACACAAATCTTCTTAAGTCCTGTAATTGCTACAACATTTAAATATTTGAAAATTTGTTTTATACCACTCTACATTTAAAAATGGAGCTGAAATATCACCTGAAGGTAGAAACATCTGAAACTTTAAGTATAATCAAACTGGTAAAATATACAGAACAAAACAAATATATGTGTGTGTGTGTGTGTGTGTGTGTGTGTGTGTGTGTGTGTATTCTCCAGAGCATTGTGCAAATGATCTAAGGTGGCTCATATAAAACTTGGTGTCTATATCAGATTCTCCGTAAAGAACATTTCTGAAGAAAGATTTTAGTTATAAGGTAGTCTCAAACCATGGACCTTAAGGATAATGCTATAAAGTACAGTAACTCTCCACTAATTGGGGATAATCTGGAGGCATGTAGTGGTGGCGCTGAGTGTGGGAGAAACTGCAGTTAAATTACATTAGGTCTTTGATTACCCAAATTGTCTTGACAATGGTTAGGGACCTGCTCAGCTCCCTAAAGGGACTCAGTCTGAGGAAAAAACCACTGACTGTGGTTCAAGGCTTCCCACTTCTTCTTAAAGTAGAACAACTTGTGGGGGTGGGAAGACACATTTTCTAGTCCTTGCTAGGCTGTAATCATGGTTGAGCTGTGCTTCATAACTGGCTGTAAAAACAAGCTGGGTTCCATCCAAACATTCATTTTAATAAAAAGATTATTATGCATTTTTTGCAACTAAATTATAAAACATGATCTATGATACTTAATTAAATTAGCTTTAGTATTTCTTGACTTTAGAAAAATCTTCTTTTTTCTAGGACAGCAAAACTAACCAACATATTATGATTATATTCTATGAGTAAAACATTTATACAAGGGTGATAATATGGGGCAACTTTCAGCATTGAATAGTCATAAAGCAGACATTTAAAAATTAAGAAAGACACATATTTTCTTTGGGTTGGTTCTGAGGCCAGGATCTTATGCTTAATCCTCCAACTTCTTGCCAGTCATTTTGCAAAGATGAATAAGATATCTAATAAAGAATGTAAGATAGAGCAATACAAATCTATCGTCTAAGATAGAGAAAAACAACTCAAAATACACATCTTTGGAAAGACTATCCAAACTATGAGGAGTAGCGTATTTAGATTTTTATTTCCATATTGTGGGTACTTAAACAATTAAAACCATTTGACTGGTAAGCCAGGATCACAGTTGTAAAAATACTCAAATAGTTTGATATTATCAGGCTTTGTCTTCGGCTACAAATTTTTTAATTGCTCGCTTTATATAAATCAGATTTTCTACTGATAGAAACTCACCATTCCCAAACTCTTAGGCTCTTATCATCAGATGTGCTCACAAATCTCCTATTCTCATCAACAAAAACAATGGTGTTGACAGCTCCCAAATGCCGATCGTATTCCTGCACAATTTCTCCACTTCGAATGTCCCACTATACGTCAAACAAGAGAAAAGGTAAAGACGGAAGCAGAGCAGGTTTATGAAAACGAACAAGGATCATAATTCTGGAAAGTGGAGAGGGAAAAGATCTCCAACATCATGTTTTTATCAATTTGCTGTTTTCTACTAAGAACTGAGCATCAGCAGTCCTTAAGAGTAGCGAATATTAAATGAGTTAATATTCCTTATTCTATTCCCTGATATAACATAAAGCTTATGAATCTTAATAAAAATACTGTGAAAACTTACTTGCACAATCTTCTTATCTGACATCCCAGCGACAAAGAGATTTTGCTTATCTTCATCAGGATTGAATTTGACACAATAGGGCACTTTTCGGTTTGTAAATCTTGATATACACTGTCCTAAAACCAAAGATTCAAATAAAATAGGTAAAATAAATCTGACCACTAAAAGATGACTATGAGATTAAGATCTAGAGATCATTTGCTTAATAAATTTTGAGAAAGATTAGCCTGCTTGCTCTGTACTATAAACTACATTGTTCTTTTTCATAGATTTTAAATGATCAAAAATGTTTTTCAAAACTAAATCTATATCACCAATTATAGAATAAATTATAGTTCCATTCATACAAAGGAATATTACAAGCAATAAAAGAACAAACTACCAGTACAAGCCACATGGATGAATCTCAGACATTATGTTCAGTGAAAGGAACTAGAAACAAAAAAGAATAATGGTATGATTGCATTTAAGAAGTTCAAGAA